GCGTATTCGCGTTGGGGCGCGGCTTCGCCGCGAGCTGTGCGCTGCGTGCAAAAACCGGGGCCGCAAGTCCGTCCAGATCCAGACCAACGTAGTTACCCGGCCTATTCTAATGGCATCTTGTTCTTTTTCTAGATTATTAGGGGGATAGTTTCAAGTCGAAACTGTCTTCTGGAGAGTCCGACGGGAAGTGGCAAGAGTCTCGCCTTGCTCTGTTCCACTCTCGCATGGCAGGCTGAAGAACAAGGTGAGTGTACACTAGTGATGTCACGATAATCGATTATACTCGATCATTGGTTGAACAGTGACTCGAAGTCTCGAACCAAGCGCTTGGTTATCAAAATCCATAATCGATTTCATCAAAAAAAAAGAAAAATTTTTTAACATTTTTTTTAAAAATTTGAACAAGAAAACTTGGAAAAGTGATGAGAATCAGTACATTTATTATACACACAGTAGTAAACAGTGCAAAACAAACAGTAAACAAGGCTAAACAAGCACATACATGCACACACGTACATGCACACGACGTTACGCACACGCAGGCATTCAACACCCCGAGTAACCGATTGTAACCGATCATCGGTTACTTGGGTCCAACCGATGATCGATTACGAAATGACAACCGATTGACAACACTAGTGTACACGACACGTAGTTAGAATATACACCATCATGTTCATCTGCTATGCTTCCACATGGAGATTTCACTTGAAGGGAATAATATCCGAGTTTCCCCACGCCTTACGTCGTAACCGCTTTTGTGTCGGATAGACAAACAGAAACGTGAGATGGAGATCTCCTGCGGTGCCGAGATGGAGAGCTGCTGCGGTGCCGATAGCAAATCTGTCAACAACCAAACCGACTTCCGTGGAGCGCAAGGAACCACAGCGGACAATGGCGATGGAGGCGCCACCTGTGAATCAAAAATTAATGGCAGCCACGATGCAGCCAATCCCCCGAGCGTAAAGGATGAGAAGAAGGAGGATACCGTTATCGATCTTACATCTGACGGAGAAGGTCATATAGAGGGTTTTTTTGCCAAACTTTTCTGATTAAATATTAGGTAGCTCTGGAATAGTTTATGGAGTAATGAAAGAATGTGAGTGTGAGTGAAAAAAAAAACAATAGAATTTAGTGTGGGAGACATTAGAGTAGAAAATATAGACACAGAGCAATGGTGGCTGGCATTGGGACATCAAGAGACTTTTAACTGCGCATTGCTTTTATATATTAGATTTATGGATGATGCTTTTAAGCATTGTCGGATTTTGCTGAACTAAAATACTCGGCGTCAAAGTTCAAACTGTGTCTGTTGTTCTTCCAGGTGGAGAAGGTGAGGACGATGATTTCAAACCGTGTAGCAAAAGCCTACGCAGTTCATTAGCTGCAGACGTAAGTTTCAACACGTGTTATACGTTCAACACTCGTGTCATCTCAGTTACACACGCACGCACAGATGGGAAAGCAGGGAGGGAGGAGAGAAGAAGAGAGAGGGAAGGGAGGAGAGAAAAAGAGAGAGGGAAGGGAGGAGAGAAAAAGAGAGAGGGAAGGGAGGAGAGTGTGAGATGCGTGGAGATAGCTTCATTCCTAGCTGCACTTTTGTTTTGCGACGTTATATAGCAGAAGGCGAATGGTTCAGCGACGTCTCGCACGTGGACTGTAGAGAAGGCAGACACACAGGACGACTCACAAGCCTACGCGATCGACTATGAAATGAAGCTCAACGCCATGAAGGATCAGGAGACTCGCGCGTCGAACCCTAAGAGGTAAGATCCTGCCACGTCTCTCGTTGAATTCTTTCCCCTCTCTGTATTCATACCTCCCATCTATTCCTTTGCCATCTATTCCTCCCCTGAATTCTTCCCCTGAATTCCTCCCCTGAATTCTTCTCCTGCATTCCTCGTCCTGCTGCATTCTTCATCATATTCTCCCTCTCAACATTCCTGCCCCATAGTCCTCGTCCCGCCACATTCCTAGTTGTATTTTCCCCCGATGTATTCCACCTTTGTATTCCTCTCCCCATATTCTGCGATACCGGAAGAGATTTATACTTTTGTGTCGCTCAATCGTGTCAGTTCAATTTCCGAGTCATCTGCCGTAAGCTCGCATCGAAATCACGAGCGACAAACTCGTTCGCTCTGCGAGACCGCGATAATCCCTGGCGGAAAGACGAAAAACCCAGTATTTTTCCGTGACAGGACTCGCACGCGTGGCGACGCGCTGGATCCCGTACTCCCGAAAATCTTCTTCCCGCTCCGACTCTCTCTCTCTCTCACTCGCTTCCTCTCCTCTGCTCCGCAGGGTGGCAAAGATCTTCTTCGGTACGCGCACGCACAAGCAGGTGGCGCAGATCGTGCGGGAGCTCGGCCGGACGGCGTACGGACGCCGTGCTCGCATGTGCATTCTCGCGAGCCGCGAGTTTGCCTGCGTGCACCCGCGCGTCAGCAAGCAGCCGAACAAGAACGACGCCTGCTCAGACCTACGCGACCCTAAGACGGTGAGGGGCCGGGGGGAGGGGGGGAGGTCGAGGGCGGGGCGAGGGATTAATTGTCTGCGCTGCAACCCGCCGTCAGCAACCAGCCGAACAAGGGAACGACAGCCTGCTCAGACACCGACCCCTAAGAACAGGTGAGGGAGGGAGGGGGCGGAGGGAGGGAGGCGGGGGAGGGAAGGGGGAGGTGGGAGGGGAGGCGAGGGGAGATTTTGCACTGCGGTGCACGCCGTCACAGTCGCATCCCGCGGCGTCAGGCAGGCAAGCCAAACAAAGAACGACGCCTGCCTCAGACCTACGCGACCCTAAAAGACAGGTGAGGAGGGAGGGGGAGGGAGGGAGGCGGGGGAGGGGGAGGGAAGGAGGTGGGGGAGGGCGAGGGGAGTTGCCTTGCGTGCACCCGCGCTAGCGAAAGCAGGGCGACAAGAATGATGCCTGCTCAGACCTAGCGCGACCCAAAGACGGTGAGGCTACGGAGGGGGGAGGGGAGGACAGGAGGTGGGGGGAGGGAAGGAGGTGGGGGAGGCGAGGGAGTTTGCCTGCGTGCATCCAAGCCAGGAGGGCGGGAGCATGAGGAGGCTGGGGCAGTGGTTGTGGTAAGCTTCAGGAGGTTTTGGTGGGTGACGGTGGTTTTGGTTCCCACGGTTGTACTTCTGCTAGCGTTCTTGCGCGCGCAGTGTTATCGCTGTCGTGACTCGTGCTCGCTCTCTCGCCCAGGTCGGAAGTTGCGGCTACTTCCACAACGCGCACCGGCTGAAGACACAGTCACAGCTGCAGTGTCACACCGGCTTCGACGCGCAGTGGGATATCGAAGATCTGGTGAGGCTAGGCAAGAAGATCAAGGTAGGTGCCATGGAGTGTGAGAAAGGACGGGAGTCGGTCGCGCTTTGACATGTTTGACGGCCGCAGAAACTCGTAGGCGTTGTTGTAGTTTTGACTTGTTGTGACGCCGTAATCGTTGTTGTTGTTTGATTTGCCGAATCATTGTTATTGTTGTGGGTGTGACTTGTTGCTTTTTGTCGTATTGTTGTTATTTGACTCGTTATAATGATGCGGTTGGTGTTTAGACTTGTGACAATACTGTTAGTGTCGCTGTTGTGCTCGCGGAAGTTACAGGTAAAGCCAATATTACAGATAAATCGACCCAACGTTAAGCTATCAAAGTATCGCGGTAATTGTTTCCCGTGAACCAGCATCCTATTCCGCAACTTCCCCTGCTATGTGCGTTTTGCCGGGAGCGTTCCTTGTTACCCTCATTTCTGCATCCCAATCCCTTTCCAAGCGTGCGCATCGCGGTGGGGTAATCGTCTGCTGCTGTCTGCCAGGTGTGTGCATACTATGCGACGCGAGGGCTCAAGGACGAGGCCGACATCATCTTCTGTCCATACAACTACCTCATCGATCCCGTGATCAGGCAGAGCGTGAGTGAGGTTTCATCTTCGCTGCATAGCTGCCGGCATTTTAGTACTGAAGCATTTTGCAACGAGGGCTGTGGGTGTAAGAACACAAGTCTTCCAACGCTTGTCATGTCCGTAGTGATGTAGTGGCAAGATGGGAGCTCAAGTCCTACTTAGGAGGCAGGCCCATACATGTATCATTACAGAGATGCCAACCACTACGATTTATTCGTATTTTATACGAATTTCATTTGCATTTTGACCACTACGACCAGTTTGCATACAACTACGATTTTTATTACGATCGAAAAAAAATCATTTTGATGATATTTCAAGTGTTGTTTCAGTCTTACATTGATATAACATGATTGGAAATAACTACATGGATTTTAATTTTAGCAGCAAATATCAGTATGAACTTATTGTCACTTTGGGTTCCATAATGCAGGAAATTGCATCTCGGAATCAAAAATTTTCCGGGGGGCATGCCCCGAACCCCCCTAGCATACTCACGTCACTGCGTGACCCTCGGACTACAGATTTCAGACATCCTCAATACAGTTTGCTCAGAAAAGTGTTGGCATCTCTGTCATTATCATGCGTCGTAACCCATACCCTAACCTTAATTCTAACCCTACCCCCAACCCTAATCCTAATCCTAACACCAACCATAAATCGCTATCTACCTCAACACACCCTAACTTTATCATGCATGTACGGGGAATCCTTAACCTATGATTGACCATTCATAGTTGTGATTTCAATCATTCTGATGGAAATATTTTGTTAGTAATGATGACTATGATCAGGAGCGAGAGAATATTACACAAAAACCTAACTTCAGCAATCTACTATTAAATTAACAAGTTTGTTTTAATACACTCCTGATATAATAGTCACACTGGGAATTTTTTCATTAATTATAAATAATTATTATATTATATACTAGAGCACCGCGAGAGCACAAGACCTTCCACGCTCAAGAGGCAGCTGAATTCTCTCAATTGTGGATATTTTTTTTTATTCATTTAATGTATCTAAAAGGGAAAAAATAATTAATTAATTATTAATAATTAAATTGAAATACCGGATTAGTGCGAGCAGTGCAGGTGGGGAGGACTGTGGTTGGCCCTTAGCCTGTGTTTCGCAGTGTTTGCGTAAGACACTACAGGCCAGCCACAACAACGCCGGGCGATGGACCGTGGAAACGTGCATGTTCCCAAACCCACAAACACACAAACGCAACCACTAAACATTTAGCCGGTGAAGAACATAACCTCCGCGCAACCCCCACACGACCGCCACCACCTGCGGCGGAGCTCAATATATAATTCATAATATAACAATGATACTGGTTAATCCTTTTGATGATCAATAGACATGTACACAATAGGCACAATCACTAGCACACACAGGTCACAGATGGCAGATTAAGTCTCAGAGGACAAGATCGTGGTTCTCAGATGCAGGCTCACATCATAGAGGATCGGCGGCGGGAGGCTGGCGAGGCGCCAGCATCACGCAGGAAGCAGCTATACGGCGGCCAGGACCGAGCTGGAATATGTGCGGAAGCATGCGTGAACACACAGAGTTACACGCTACAGCGCCACACAACGTTGACTTACAGCACAACACCAATACATGCAGCACACTTATGTTCACTCTGCACAGCTTGCCACACACTCCACATCACATAGCATGTATCACGCAGACAAGACACTCAGCAACGTGCACACACTGCATAAAACAGCACGCCTCGCAAATAACAACAAATTTAACGAAAGACTCTAACACAAACCGAGTGCACACCGCAACCACCAGAACGTCCAGTGCCCGGCTCACGATCCACAGCCACCACCAGCCCACCCCACACACGTGTTCTACACATACACTACTCACACACCTAACACTCCATACCGACATACACGCACCGTATTTTGTCACGTCACAGCGCACGGACAGCCCCGGCTGCCCCCGGATCAACGCCCCGGAAGCCCCGCAGTCTTGCCTCCGCAGCAGATGCGTGGAGTTGAAGCCAGCTATACCACGCCCGCCCACCTCGCCGCGACGAATAAACCCCCGCCCCCCACTCCTTCCGCCTCTGCAGCGGATGCCTGGGGTGAAAGCCAGCTACTCACCCCCCCCCGCCCGACCCTATCCACACACGGGCCACGTTGGCTTCACAATCAGCTTCACACGTGGCGTGAACGCACGACTAGAGAGTGAACTTTGACGTTGAACGTGACGTTTTGTGCCGATCGTTCCTTTCCGGCCTTACATACTAATAAATATTAATACTTACGTATATTAGTAATGATACATTAACCTAAAGATTATAATAATATTATAATCATATAATTAATAAACTATAAAGTATAAATTTAATATATATAAAAGTATATATAATATATAGTTATATTAGAAAAAGTATATATAATATATAGTTATAATATAATAAAGTATATATCATATATAGTTATATATAACAAAATATGTATCAATAAATATATTATCAGGAGTAAAACAATCACCCCAACCACATCTTCTAAATTTGGTGACTCTTTCACTTCCTGATAATCTATCCGAATAATAATAAATCAGAATACCTGTACCGGGCGAAAATCGCGTACCCATACCGCGCAGCCGCCCGTGCTCCGGCAAAAACACCAATCCCTCCGCCGGCCCAGATAAAACCTCCCTCCGCTCCTGCCCTTGCAGGCGGATTTGCTGGGGTGAAGCCAGTTATCCCACAACCGCCCCCCCACCCCGCGCGGCGGACGAATAAACGCCACCCCCCGCGTCTTGCCTCTGCAGCGGATGCTGGGTGAAGCCAGCCAGCCACCGGGAGCCCTTGCCCGCCGTCTGTTCCGTCATTCGGCAGTGGATCGGCCGGTCAGTCGGACGACCTTGAGCAGACGGACTGGGCCGATTCGTCGCGCGTCTGGAAGGGCGTCGAGATGGTCCCCGCTCTCAGGTCATGGCCATACCGACGCCCGACGAGTACGCACACGTGATGGTGGAGAGCAGGTACGGACATGGCCGCGGCGACGACGTCAGTGGCGCCCATTGCTTTTGTGGGTTTTCAGCGGTCGCTCCCCCTCTAAAAAACCTGATTTGACAATCAAAAAATTTTTGCAAATTGATTTGGTGCTGCACCAGCTATACGGTCTGTAGACTGTTAACGCTTAGGCTAAGCGGCAAGCGCGCGGGGCAGAAGTTTATGAAATTGTATTGAATGAAATGGAGATTTTTCTGCTAGCCGTGGCGATCATCCACCCACCTGTATTGGCCAATCGGCGACAACTCGAGGTAATATTGTTAGCAGATGTTAGAAAGCGAGAGATTATATCGCGAGTTCTATATCACGAAAAAAAAACTTTCTGTTTGTCCGCATGCATCCTGCGAGTCTGTACGTGAGCACAAGTGTCAGATGCCTCGTGTAGCCAGCTGCTCTCTTGTTCGGTTCAGAGTGCATTTGGGGACGTGATGGAGAAGGTGGAGTCGGCGGAGGAGGCGGAGCAGGCTTCAGTGAAGCCCTCGGTGATCATGGTGATGCGCAGCCTCCTCACCGTACTGCAGTACATCTACAAGGACAATCTCAAGTACATGGATGACTACAGGTGGGTGCAGGTAACCTGACAATACAGATTGGCACAGGTAACCTGGTAATACAGGTGGGTGGATGATACAGGTGGGCAGGACAGGAGGGCAGATGATACAGGTGGGCAGGTACATGTAAGCACGCCTACATAAAATCTCCATTCATTCATACACATTCATAAACTCTGTCGCGCTTAGTTACGCGTTAACAGTCTACAGACCTATAACGTGCAGCACCAAAATCAATTTGCAAAATTTTGATTCGAATCAGGTTTTTTAAAGGGGAAGCGGCCGCCTGAAACCCACAAAGCAATGGCCGCCACGACGTCGTCGCCGCGGCCACTGTCCGTCTGCTCTCTCACCATCACGTGTGCGTACTCGTCGGGTCCGATGGCCATGACCTTGAGAGCGGCGACCATCTCGACGCCCGTCCAGACGCGCGACGAAGTCGCAAAGTCCGTCTGCTCAAGGTCGTCCGACTGTCGGCCGATCCACTGCGAGATGACGGAACAGACGCGAGCAAGCTCCCGGTGGCTGACTGGCTTCACCCCAGCATCCGCTGCAAAGGCAAGGATGCGAAAACGCACGCTCGCATACAATCAAATTTAACAAAGACTCTAATCAAGAGTGCACACCCACCCACACGTCCAGTGCCCCTCCCCCCTGCCCCCACCCTGCCGCCCCCGAATAAACCCCTCCCGCGTCCTTGCCTCTGCAGCGGATGCTGGGGTGAAGTCAGCTACCCACCCCCGCCCCCACCCCGCCGGCGACGAATACACCCCCCCCAAGGTTTTATGCGTGCGTGCATGTGTGAGTGTCTGTCTGCGTGTACATGTATGTATGTGGAAGTGTGTGCAAGCCTGCGCATGTGTGCGTGTCTGCACACATGTGTGTGTCAGTCTGTGTGGCCGCTTGTACGTGTAACTCTGTGTGTTCACGCATGCTTACCGACAGATTCCAGCTCGGTCCTGGCGCCGTCTAGCTGCTCCTGCGTGATGCTGGCGCTCGCAGCCTCCCGCGCCGCATCCTCTATGTTGTGAGCTTCATCGAGAACCACGATCTGTCCTCTAAGATTAATCTCCATCTGTGACCAGTATTGCCATTACATTCATGATCATCAAAGATTAACCAGTATCATTGTAATATTATGAATTATAATTACCTCCGCCAGGGGCTTGGCAGAGGTTATGTTTTCACCGGCGAATGTTTGAGTGTTGGTTTGTG